CCCCGGATATCGACATGCTTGACAGATCACGTACGCAGAAACTAATAATTCTGCAGCCAAATGAAAACGCTCTTATCCTACACAAAAGTTATTTCTTTCCTTGTAAAGGCACTTAATCCAATGATAAATATTAATGAGATAAATCAGAACATCATATAATGGAATCTTCAAATCACCATTCAACTAATAACTACGTCTCAAACTACCAATCTATTGATCCATGTTATTATATATATATATATATATATATATATATATATATATATAATGACAATTTTTAGGTTTATACGTTCTTTTTATAGATACAAATATTTAAGAAAATGTTCTGTTTTATAATAAACAGTATTAACAATATTTACTGGCCTGAATATCCGAGAAATTTTCATAGAAAATATGCGTCCTCTGACAGGAATCGAACCTGTATCCTATACGGAACCGTCATATAGCCTGACATGCCTTTACCGATTGCGCCACAGAGGAGCATTTGTTTAGCAAGATCGGATTTACTGTCTTTTAAACTACAATTCTCCATGATTTTCTCTCATATAGTCATATCTACTCAATGCGTATCCAAATGTAAACAAATGACGTCACACATTATGAAATGGACAAAGTCCGACAATTTTTTTAAGACATTTTAAGTATATATATATATATATATATATATATATATATATATATATATATATACTTGTGTATTTAGGCAGCAATTCTTCATTTATACGATTATGATTTTTATTTATTTTTTCTTGTCTTCGAAGAAGTGTTTTCTTGTCTAAATATCTATTTACAGTTATACTGATCTTTAATTTTCCGAACACAATCAGCACGTGGCCGTGTTCATAGTTAATTTTCCGAACACAATCCACGCATGCCAACTATAAACAAGAAGAATGTCCCCTTACGGAACTGTGTTCCTGATCAAACCAAGCTCATAAATAATTACGTTGGTCACACTACTACATGCCTATCCAGACGACTTAGGTTACATCTATCAGACAACATCTCCATCAAAACCCATTTAAACACACACATAAACTTACCAGACTGCATCCGAAACGTACCAGTAGGAAATATAAACATAATAACCTCATCCGCATAAAAAAAATATTAAAAATAATGGAAGCATTAATAATAAAAAAAAAAAGGCCATCACTCAATAATATTAATTACGAACACGGCTACAATATGCTGACTGTGTTCGGAAAATAAAACATGCTTATTACTCTAGATACATACACACAACTCATACATCCAGTTAAAAAGTAAAAAAAAAAATCCTTGGTAATGGCTAAAAGTATAGCCGAAAGCCCTCGGAATTACAAAACATTTGGACAGTTTTTACACACTCTGTGTCCAATAAAGAAAACACTTGTTCGAACACGAGAAAAATTAAATAAAAATTTTAATCGTAGCAACTTGTCTGTCGTCTTTAATGAAATATATATATATATATGTGTGTGTGTGTGTGTGTGTGTGTGTGTGTGTGTGTGTGTTTGAGCTTGTGTGTGTGATAAAATTTAGTTTTAAGGTATGCTATATTTATGGATTAAAGTGCTCAATATCAGGAATTGAGCGTATGTAAATATAAAAGTGGACATTGAAATCAACACCCAGTGGCGACCGTCTGTTGCGTGCTTTTATGCAATTGTCAGGTTATAATTATTTACCTGCTGCCCCACGCAGCAAGATGTGGCACAAGGCCGAGTTTAATGCTGGGTATCCGAGCCCGTAGACTCGGGCAAAAATTCCCTACAGACAGTGTAAAAACAGAGTCAGTTTCCCGAGACGAGACTCCGCCCCTCGGCAGAGCCTCGTCTGGGGGATACCCTCTGACATAAGCAAGGTAAATATAACTGTCAGGTTATATGCGTTGTGTTTTTTCTCGACTATTTTTATATACAGGTCAGTGATGCATTGTGGGTAGTCTGTTGTATTGTTCGAACGTTTATTTTGTTGCACAGTAACGGTTACATTTCGAATTATTCTAGTAGCCATGGGTGGAAATAATTGTGGATTCGGATGCAGTTTTTTTGGCTATTTATAGTGTTGTTTCTTAACTTTTCTATTTAAAATTCAAAACTTTTTGAAATTCTACGTACGATGAATTGAATCGTTATTACGAATCCAATGAAATAAATTAAACCATGAAATATTAGTGTTTGAGCCTTTTATATTATATAAAAAGAGAGAGAGAGAGAGAGAGAGAGAAAAAGAGAAAAAGAGAGAGAATTGCGTATTAAAAATTCTCGGGTTTTCATTAGTAAATGAAGAGTGTGTCCTTAGACATAAAATTTAATGTTTGCCATTATATATATATATATTGGTACCTCCACTGATTTGCCAAAATATAGCATACATTGAAAAAATGCAGTTTTTATTATTAAATTATATTTTTTTTCATCATTTTTAGAACGTTCGAAATTTTAGCTAAAAATCTTGTTTTTATGTTTTGTTTTGTTTTGTTTTGTTTCTTTGGGTTTTTTGGGATTTTTTTGTTTTTTGTTTTTTGCGTTAGCACAGTGTGACCAAAGATTATTATTGTAAATGTTAACGTCTTTTTTACTGAGATTTAGAAATTCTTAAAAAATCGTATATTTGTCTGATTTTAATGAAACGTTCAAATAAATGAAGTTGTTTTTAAAATGTGTTTCTTAGATAATCTTAGTGAAAATATTTAATTTATATAATTTTATGAAATTTCGTGAAATTCAATCTTGTCTCACTTAAAGGCAGAATGATTTGGAGAATTTAAATCATGTTTTTTTTTATTTATTTATTTTGTAAATTAGAGCCCACCGAGTTACAGAAAATCTACCTTGAAACGTAAAATAAAAAAAAACAATAAAGGTAAAGCATTTTCTAATTAAAAAAAAAGCTTTTAATTTCTTTTATAAATAAGATAAATATATTATAAAATATAAAATATATTTATTGATCATAAATGAAAAAACTTAGTACAATTCAACGAACACAGATAATTAAAAAAATAATTTTGAATTTTTTTGTGTGTGTATAAACTTGCCGATTTTTTAAATACGGATGTCCATACACGACATTATCAGAAACAAAGAGCGACTACAATAGTAAATTTAAAGCCAAAGTGCCTAAAATTCAATAAAATATTAGATGAGGGAGAATATTTTCCTAAATTATTAGGATTACTGGGTCAATTTGTGAAGTAAATTTTACAGGTATATCCACCGTAGAAATTTATTAGATAACAATAGATAATTTATTAGATGCAAGCTGGCAACACGTAAAATAAACAGCTACCACCATGTTAAAAAATGCATTTCTCCGATAATTTAAATTTAAAGTAATTAATATTTGTTTCAAATCATATTGAACTTTAAATCAGGGAATATTCCTTAAATAAAGTTTCAGAAAAGTATATTTTATTTTCGAGAGATTTTTTTTTTTATAAAGTGAATTACATTGCGATGACGGAAGGCTAAAAATGGCGCTAAAATCAGCGATGTTATTGATTTCAAAAGGAAAACTCCTTCCAGACAATTTAAATTCATTTAGAAATACAGCAAATTATTCTGCATATTGGAAATATTAAATTTAATCTATTAGCTTGAAATTAAAGCTAAAATAAGATTGAAGAAAGATTTTTCATTTATAAATTAAATTCATTTGAAACATTGGGTATCTTTGGAAGTATATATATATATATATATATATATATATATATATATATATATATTATTCAAATGTAACGAGAACGAAAAGAATATAAATTCAAACGTTCATAGCATTAATTTAAAAGAGTGCTTAATACCAAGAGTAGAACAATAGTTATTTATTATAAAGATGTTAGATACGGACAGACATTCTCCTCCATTTTTGTTTAGATGCGAATGCATCTTGACAGATGAGGAACAAAGATGGTAGGCTTGTTTTTAAGGTATGCTATATTTATGTGTTGAAGTGCTCAATATCAGGGATAGTGTGTATGTAAATATTAAAGTGCACATTGAGGTCAACACCCAGAGGCGACCGGCAGTTTCATGCTTAAACGCAATCTTCAGGCTATCTGAGGATTATGTTTAGGCCTGAAGCAGGAGATCGCTACTGGTTGTAGACCTCAATGTCAACTTATATATATATATAATTAATATAATTAAAACTTAGCTGATTGATGTTACCTTTAGCATCCTAACTCCAGAGATCCGTAAAAAGACTCTCTTCAGTGGGTAACAGCAATTGACTGCTCACATTTCGCGATTTTTGCCATAATTTCATGGGGATGATAGTTAAGTAGCTCCCCCGTTCCTCAGTTTTTGAATACAGAATTGATCTTTTCCTCGTCTAGCTACTAACCAAAGCTTTAGAGCCCAGACTACACTATTATGTAACCCAAAGGTGGGTGGAGGTAAGAAGTGATGAAATCGTGCCTTCCCCAAGGGTAAAAGTGCGAAAATGAACGCAACTGACTAAGACGGAATTTGAACTCGGTACGCACATTCCGTTTTCAGAGTTGATAATCGTTACGATACCGCTTATTTGGCGATACTTATTGCAAATCCAACTAAAACTTTTATTGGTTGTGTTGACAGTTGTAGAGGAGAAATTCATTAAATAAATAAAAATTAAATTAAATTAAATAAAAATAAATAAAAATAGAATAAAAATAAAAAATAATAAATTAATAAAAATAAAATAAAAAATAAATCAAATAAAATAATCTGGATGAGAAATTACTCAGTATTAAACAAAACATTATAAATTTTTATGTTTTCTTTTTTTATATTTGTTATTCATTTTTCATTTCATTTGAAAATATTTTTAAGCAATTTCAAAAGAACGGTTTTCGGTCTTAATTACGCAATCTTAGGTAAAAAGATATTTTTAAGTTTCCAATTTTTCCTGTCTAATCTTACAATACTTTCGTCATGTTTCTTCTTCTTCTTCTTCTTCTCTTTCTTCTTCTTCTTCTTCATCTTCTTCTTCTTCTTCTTCTTATTATTATTATTATTATTATTATTATTATTAAATGTTTCTTTTCCCAATGATTATAAACTATTTACCTTCGAAAAATAAAAGTATACTTATATTTTTCTTACCTGATCTTAGAGATTCATAATATTCCTTTTTTATTTGATTTTTTAATTCGTTTTTTCTTTAATATTATTTTTATTTTTTCATTTATGTACTGCAAACCAATTTCGTGGTTTAGAAAAAAAAGGCATTATTTAATAATAGTCAGCAACAATTTTGGAAATTAATTCTAACGCGTTTCTACGAAGATATTTCTTTTATCAAAAATGACTTAAAAGGATTTGTCATGAAAATAAATTAGACGGACAAGACAAGAAAATAATCTCTCTCTCTCTCTCTTTCTCTCTCTCTCTTTCTCCTATTCCCACCACTCCTCTCTCTGTATCTCTTTTATTTCTATCTTTTGCCACCCCCACGCTACTGTGATCACTTCGCTCTTTCTCAATCTCGACTCTCTCTAACGTTTCTATCCAGTCACTTTCTCTTTCACCCTTTCTCTTTTCACTTTCTCTCTCTCTCTTGATATTTATCTCTCAGATAGATAGGTAGGTAGAGAGAGAGAGAGAGAGAGAGAGAGAGAGAGAGAGAGAGAGAGAGAGAGAGAAATATGTAGTGGAGGCTGAAAAATACTAGTTCCTATACAGGAACCGTTCCCCAAACAAATTCTGACTTTTGGTCTTTGTATTAGAATTGATGGTCGAGCCGAGAACTTTTCAGTACTTTCTCGTACATCATGATCATGATCATGATCACCAACGCCGACGCCACCATTATTTTATATATATATATATATATATATATATATATATATATATATATATATATATATATATATATATATATCAGTGGGCACTGACAGTCTGTTTCATGGTTAAACGCAATCGTCGATGTCGACTTTTATATTTATTTATGTCCTATCATAAATATAGCATAAATATACCTTAAAACTATATTTATCATATATATATATATATATATATATATATATATATATATATATATATATATGTAGTGGAACCTCGTGTCACTAAAGCTTCGCTTCAGATCACGAACAAATCGCTTCACAAATAAATTTTCACAAAAAGATCATCTCGGATGACGAAACGCTCAAAACGAAGAAGACATGGGCCAACAAGCCGGGATTATTGGCGGGAGAGTGACAGTTTCGTTGTAGATTTCGCTCTATACAGCTACCTGTACGAATTCGTCGTACCTTCTCTTGGATGTCATTATAGTGTGTGTGTGTGTGTGTGTGTGTGTGTGTGTTGTTTTGTTTTTTATAAATTTTTAAATAAGGTATCATGGGACCAAAGAAGAATAATGATAAAATGATGCTCAAAATTATTAAGTTAAGTTTTCGTCCATAATTTATCTGTTTAGTACTGTGTCTATCTTTTATTTTTGTTAGATTTAGTGGTTTTTCTTTTTTTGGGGGGGTGCAAATCTTTCGGGTCCAGAAGATTTTGAAGAGCGTGGAACCACCTCTTAATTGTGGTTGCCCCCAGGGTGGTAGCATGTGTTAGGGTACTATTTATGGTTAAATTGTGAATATCCAAACAAAAATAAAAATAAAAGAAAACATTAAGAAAGTATAAAATTACATTTTTATTTAAAAAATGCAAGCAATACAGTTTTATAGCAAAATTAACAATACATTTTTTAAAAAATGACAATCAACACATTTTATAGTAAAACAGAAGACATGGCAAGCAATGTGAAAAGAAAATTGCTTTGATTAATCCAATTTCTTGTAAGGAGAAACAGGTTTTCATACTTTATTTGATCTTGTAAGATTGTTTGTAAAAAAATGCAGCTAAGTAATTATAATTTAATCATGAAATAATGTCATTCTCTTGAATTAATTTTATGGATTTTGTATATTTAGATTTCAGGATTAAATCGCTCCTATTGGTTGATATACCGCAAAAGAAAAGACAACGAGTGTTAGACTTGTAACTTGGTGATTAGCACATCCATCTACGGCTTCTGAATAGTTCCATTCTATGCAGTTTGGTCACAAGGCTTGGGTCAAACGGTAGTATGGTTAACAAGTACTTTCCGCACGCTGGGATCGCCTTCCCAGTCCGATAATATCAAAGTCATCACCCTGACAAATCAACCCTGTATTGAGATTCGTATACGGATCTCATAGACTGAAAATCTACGTTAAGATACACAGATGACACAGTACTGATAGCAAACACAGAAATGAAATTACAAAATCTCCTACAGAAGGTAGTGTCAGAGAGTGAGAAGAAGTGACTAAGCATAAACTACAAGAAGAAGGAGTGCATGATCATCAGTAAAAGGATGAGCCCGAAATGCGATTTGCAGGTCGGCAACACTAGAATCAAGCAGACGCGGAAGTTTAAATATCTGGGAAGCGTTTTGACAGAGGACGGTAAGTGCGACACAGAGATCCGTAGACGTATCGGGATGGCCAAGGACACATTCCAAAAGCTTTGCAGAGTACTGAGAGACAGTACTTTGGTAACGAACAAAAGAATACTGAACTGTTATGTAACATCTGTTCTTTACGATTTCCTCAAAGATGAAGAAGAGACTCGAGGCGACAGAGATGTGGTTCTACCGAAGGATGCTGAAGATATCATGGACCGAGCGTGTGAGCAACGATGAGGTCTTAGAGAAGTTGCAAACAAGGAGGAGGCTTATACTTAACAGCAGGAAGAGGCAGCTGAAGTTTCTGGGACACATAATGAGGAAGGAGGGCCTGGAGAATCTGATACTCACGGGTCGAATAGAGAGAGAGAGAGAGACACGGGAAAACAACGTGTGACATACCTGGCGGACTTAAGCAAGTGAATCACACATCGTGGTCTGGGGGAAGAAACAGAGGGAAGGAACTTGTTGAGAGCTACAAGGGATAGAGGGAGGTGTGGAGAACCATGATGGCCTATGTGCTGAAAGAAAAGAAGTTATTTTTTTTACTGGGTGATATCTTTTTTCGAGACTAGTATGCAAACACACTCAAAAATACAAAAGGATATTCAACCTTTACAGAGGCGATTTTCAGAGTATTAGATGTTCTACCAGGTTTCATTATTGGCGGCCACAATCTTAATATAAAATTGTAGATGACACAGTGTTGATAGCAGACACAGGAAGTAAGCTACATTCACTCCTACAGAAGGTGGTAGAGGAAAGGGAGATGAAAGGACTAATCATCAATTGTAAGAGGACACAATAAGCAATAAAATTTGACTCTCTGGCAGTACTTAATTGGGAGAAACCGCGGTATCAGAAAGGTTGGTTTTCTAAGTAGATTATATATATATATATATATATATATATATATATATATATGAAGAAATATAGTTTTAAGTTATGCTATATTTATGGTATATGTGCTCAATATCAGAGATAGAGCGTATGTAAATATAAATATAAAAGTGAACATTGAAGTCCACACTCAGAGGCGACAGACCTGATTGCGTTTAGCATGATAAAGTCTGTCGCCATTGAATGTTGAGTTCAATGCTCACTTTTATATATATATGTGTGTGTGTATATTTGAATGTGTATGTATTTATATATATATATATATATATATATATATATGCATTCATGCATATATTTATCTATATATTTGTATTTATATATATATGTCTTTATATATATATTTATATATATATATATATATATATTTGTATTTATATATACATATATATATATTTATATATATATATATATATATATATATATTTCTATATTTATATTTATATATATGTATTTATATATATGTATTTAAATATATATTTATATACATGTATATATATATATATATATATATATATATATATATATATATATATATACATACATTTGTATTTATATATATATATATATATATATGCATTTATATATATATGTGTGTGTGTGTGGGTGTTCATATATAATATTTATAAAATTAATATATTCTATGAATGTCAAATACACGTTAACTAGAAGCCAGATGTATTTTTTCTTAGAAAAATTATAAACAATTACCCAACCCCAGTCGACCAGGACAAGAAAATTAAATTATCTACTATAAAAAATTAAAAACAGCTAACCATATCATCATCAACCCAGCTGCAAGTTTTAAATTACAGAGGACCGATATTATCAATGAATTCATATGACCTTTAAGGAACTGCGTTCCTAATCAAACCAAAGTAATGAATAATTATATTGGGCATACCACTACATCCCTATCAGGAAGACTCTCGTTGCACCTACACGGCCGTAACTTAGTAAGGACTTATTTAAATACACACGGAAACCTACCAATAAATGTAATAGTCTCATCTACATGTAAAAAAGACTAAAAATAATGGAAGCACTAATAATAAAATGCAAAAGACAATACTCAATGGCATCAACTATAAACACGGCCATAATGTGCTGACCGTGTCTGAAAAATAATAAAACTCTAGAAAAATATAATGAAAAATAAATGTAAACAAATCCACACATTCCGTAAAAAATAAAAACAAAAAAAAATCTCCTTGATAATACCTAAAAACTCCATGGTAATGGGTAAAAGAATAGCCGAAAGCGCTCGGATATATAAAATATTTCGACAATTTTGATAAACAATGTACAATTATATATATATATATATATATATATATATATATATATATATATATATATTACTTATAATAAATACTTATATTTGAATAGATGCTGTTATTATTTATCTACTAAACAGAATATTTATTTACTTACATTTAACGGCCTGAGTATCGATTAAAGATAACGTTTAAACAAATAAATAAAAGTTATGTCGAATTTAATCCAATTCCCAATATGTATATATATATATATATATATATATATATATATATACATTCATATATATATATATACCTACATATATATATATATATATATATATACATATATATATACATACATATATATATATATACATATATATACATACATACATTCATATATATATATATATATAGATACACCTAGTGAGCCAGACAAACCTACCTAGGTTTCACCTAAAACGGATCGTCAGGGAAAGCTTCCCTCGAAATTGATTTGATTAACAAATCAAAAATTCGAGGGTTTTTCGAAACGAGTCTAGTTATTTATATTTATATATATATATATATATATATATATATATATATATATATATATATATATATATATATAAAAAAGGCTTAAACACTAATATTCCATGGTCATAATTTATTCCATTGGAATCGTAAATACGATCCAAATCATCAGATCTACAAATCATCAGACCTACAAATTCAAAATATATATATATATATATATATATATATATATATATATATATATATAGATAGATAGATAGATAGATAGATAGATAGATACCAGATATTCAGCACTTTAACCCATAGAGTGCTCAACATCAGCGATCTATCTATCTGTCTGATCTATATATAGAAAGCGTTACCTAAGATTTAAAATACATTTTAAAAAATAAAAATCTTACTCGAAACTTTTATTTAATTTCAAGTGAATAGATTCAATTTAATATTTCTAAAATACTTTCCTGCATCTCAAACCCAATTTAAATTTATTGGATTTTTAAACTGTTAAAATCACAAAAACCGACCATGTTGAAAAATCTGTCAACACATTTTAAAATAAAATATACTTTTCTGAAATTTTATTTGAGGAAGATTAACTGATTTCTAGTTAAATTAACCTGAATGAAAACAAATATTACTTACTTTCAGTTTAAAATACCGTAGAAAAGCATTTTTTAAAACAGAAGCGGGTTATTTTATGAGATGTTGTTACATAACCTGACGATTGCATAATGTAGGCGGTATTTTTTTTTTTAACGAGCCAGTAATCCTAAAAAAATTTTTTTTAAGTTTTAATATTTTATTGAATTTTAAGTATTTTGGCTTTATAGACTTACTTGCAAAGAAACTTTTTGAAGAAATCTTAAAAAATTACCAATAAATTTTAAATTTACTATAGTTACTGTGCTTATTTTCTCATAATGCTTTGTACGAGCGTAAGTATTTACAAAAATCGGCCAGTTTATACACCAAAAAATTCAAATTTCTTCTTAAAATACTGGTAGTCGCTGAATTGCAGTAAGCTTTTCCATTTATCATTAGTAAATATAGTTTTTTACTTAATACCATTATCCAATAACTGCTACAAATAAATATAGAATTTTAAAAGGTTTAAAACTTTATAAATTGCATTTAATAGATATTTGCATTTTTTAAATGCAAACAATTTTGGGAAAAATTCATTATTCATCGAATTTTTTTTCTTAAAACAATAGTATCCATAATATGTCTTATTCATAAAAGCAATTAAAAGCTTTTCTAATTAAATAATGTCTTACTTTTGTTGCATTTTTTTTTTTTTTATGATTCAGAGAAGATTTTCGGCAACTTGGGGTCCTGTTTGATCCCAAGAATTGATGAATGAAATTTTTAAAGAAGTTGGGCTTATAACTAATCTAAACATTACAAAAAAGAATTTCTCGAAATGTAATTAAATTAAATAAGTAGAGGGGTGCGAGTAACAAATCAAAAACATATTTTTACCATAATTTTCTAAAAACTAAATTTTTCAAAAACAATTTAAGTTATTTGTGAATAAGTTCTGAAAATCCAACAATTATTATTACTTTTTTTTCTTGTGCAAGAATTTTCAAATCATTGTGCTTTTTACCGCAAAACAGAAGCTAAAAGTTCTTATACTTCCCCGCTGACATAAGATAAACAAATTTTTTAACGAAAATTTCGAAGGTTCTAAAAAGGATGAAAAAATATAGAAATTAATAATAAAAAATTGTTTTGTTTTCGGCTTAATAATAACAAAGATTTTAATGATAAACCTTTATTGTTTTTCGTCCTGTGTATGACGATAAACTACATCCAACAGCAGTGCCTCCGATCAAGAGGTTTTGAAGAGCGTTCAACCACTTCTTAATTGCTGCTGTTCCAAGGTCCACTCTGTTAGGGTCCCAGGTATGGGCAAATAGTTAACCCCAGAACTGGGGTCAAAACACTATGAAAGTGTAAAAATAGATTTTAATACCAGAAATATATTTTTGTAAAAATATTATTACCAGTAATGATTTTTTAAGAAAAAATGATTACCAGCAAAACATTTTTTAAGAAAAAAAATAGTGGCAGCAATATATTTTTGAAGAAAAATACTACCAGTCATAATAATCTTGTCGGCATTAAATAAACCATTGAGGTGTTGATATGCCGTAAAAGAAACCAAACCAAAGCAGAACTTTATTTTTATTAAGTTTTGGGCATTTTTCATCAAGAATGCTAATTGTTTTACCAAATCTTTGGGTATATACATATACACATACATACATATATAAATATATATAGAGAGAGACATATTATATATATATATTGTGTATTTGGGCAACAATACCTCTTTTATACATGTTTCGTTAAAGACAACTAACAAGATACTGCGATTCATTTTTTCATTTAATTTTTCTTGTGTTCGTACAAGCGTTTTGTTTCTGGAAATAATGTCAAAACTCTCCAAACGTTTTCGGCTATTCTTTTCACCAATTTCACCGCGATTTTTATTTTATAACTGAATGTTTGTCTTTTAGTAATTTATACACTTAAAGCCCAATATCTGTATTATATAATATCTACTCCTAGGCACTATTACTCTTCAGATTTAACTAATTTGCATATTAATTTTTTAAAAGTTTATTTCATTAATTAACTGTTCTTCATTACTGTTCTTTTATTCGAGAATTGTTTTAATTTCCATATCAAAAATAGTTCCGTTTAGAAATATCGTCTTATATAGTACAGAAAAGTGTTTGAAATTTGCATTTTACTTGGCCTTCAACAAGTTGGCATCTATTTGTAAAACTTTCCTTAACTATAACAAGGCAAGTTATGAATGAAATGTTCATTTAAAATCTTTGTTTCAAATATTTCAAGTAGTGAATATATCTTACTTTGCAAAACGATAGCGAGCGGGCGAAGCCTGCTAGTGTTTTATATTTTTATCGTAATTCATGTGGACATAACATAAGGACACTCGTCCTGCACTCGAGCGAGTCACTCAACACGAATCGACAACTTACAAGTTCTGTCCAGTAAAGAGTGAAGGCGGTTTCACACCGATAACGACGCCGTATAGATATCACGAAATAAATTCTCCATGATTGTTATAACTTTAAATAATATAAGAGGTCAAGAGGTCGAAGCTTTTATTATAATAACCAGGGACTTTCTAACAATATGCCGTACGTCTAACGTAAAATTACGAATATAAAACTAAGTAAAAATTACTCAAAAATACATTATCAGTGTTTCTTCCCGAAGACCTAGCGACCGCTTGCGGAACCCCTAGGGTTCCGGAGAACACCGGTTGAGAAACACGGCAGTTTACTATCAACCGATTTTGAACGAGGCCTTAATCCCGGAATGATTTGGGGTTCCCACGTGCTGAGCTGTCCAATATTGTGTGCCAGAGTCTTGGTCTCTGCGAACGGTTTCTTGGTGTGTCTTGGGCCTGCCAACCAGGCTGAGCCCATCCCTCTCCAGGTTAGACCACAGCCGATGTCCTGCAACTAAGCGGCTCACCTTACTCGCGAACATATGGCCGTTCTAGTTTATCTGAGGAATCCTTCCGCTCTGATTGGTGACCTGCATCGGGGAGGTCCTTTACCCAGTGGTGCCGTGTTAACACCACTCCTTCTCGTGTGTGTAACCCGCCAGATGAAACAGTTTAGTGGGGCATGGCAACTTTGAACAACCACATGAGAGATTTAGGAAATGGTTGAGGACCAGGGATTCCCGTCCACTCGAAGGTAAGCGTGCCAGACGTGAAAGGTACTACCTCTACCCAGAGCACCCTCTATCCCCTCAATCCGACTATCTTGTTTGATATCAGTTCTAGTTATAGTGATTTTCCAAGCGTAGCTTAGATGTGGCACAGGGTCGAATGTTTGAGGCACCCAGTGAGGATCGAACTCACTACTCAGTCGTAATTGTTCTAGCGAGAAAAGCTTGCTAACCATTACACCGCCTCAAGGTGCCCATTTATTTTCCAAGCGTAGCTCGGATGTGGCACAAGGCCGAAAGTATGGGGCACCCAGCGAGGATCGAACTCATTACGACTGAGTAGTGAGTTCGATCCTCGCTGGGTTCCCCGTACTTTCGGCCTTGTGCCACATCTAAGCTGGGCTTAGAAAATCACTATCAGTTCTAGTTATATATGCACTTGAGAGCATTTTTTTTTATTCAGCAAAACAAAGATTAACTTAATTCACAGCAAATTTATAATGAAACTACGCCGCAAAATTGTTATTATAAATGCGATCTAAGTTCCGTGAACGTCTTCAAGATGTGGGCGATCATGGCTGTCCACCATTTCCAATCCCCTCTAGCTCTTAGTAACGTTTGTCATTTTATCACCCCTACCCACTTCCTGTTGCGCGATCTACTCACAAAAGTTGGTCCTGTAGGTGATCCACTTCCTCTCCTTTCCCTTTTGACCTCAATATGTAAGTGTTAATTTTTCTAAGCCTTCTTTCCTCATTGTCCAAGAAATTCAGTTGTCTCTTTCTTATTCTGGGTATAAGTGTATTTTTTTATTCCGTTTTCCTTAAATCTTCGTCATTACTTGCATGTCCCGCCAAAGGTATTCTCAGCATCCTTCTGTAAACCCAGATGTTGCGTCAAGTCTCTATCTGTGAGGAAATTCTCCAACATTCACTGTCATTAAGGAGGACCGATATTACGTAACAGTTCATGACTCTTTTCTTTGTTTGTAAGGAAATTTTCCTGTTTCTTAATACTTTGCTTAGCTTTTAGAAGGCAACTTTTTGCTATTCCAGTGAGCCTCAGATACCGCTGTCGCATTTTAAGACCTCTGTTACTAGATATTTAAATTTCTGTATTTGCTTGATCTTGAAGCCTACAGTTTGGAGTTAGTATTTTCACTTTTTTTGACAACCATGCATAAAATGACCGTTGATAAACAGAAAGAAGTAAATTTTTAATTCCGTCTGCTAGACTTTGACGTTAAAAGAACAGAGGCGGATTAGATATTTTATATAAAAATCACAATCCATTATCATTTTCATTAAATCCCATCTCAAACAAGAGAAAGTTTGGACGATAGAAAAGAGGAAGGAAGAGGACGACGAAGAGGAATAGGAAGAGGAAGAGGAGAGATCTTCCTCACTATATCATATCTCTGTCCAAAGTTTAGACGATAGAAAAGAAGAAGGAGGAGGACGACGAAGAGGAATAGGAAGAGGAGAGATCTTTCTCACTATATCACATCTCCGTCCAAAGTTTAGACGATAGAAAAGAAGTAGGAGGAGGATGACGAAGAGGAATAGGAAGAGGAAGAGGCGAGATCTTTCTCACTATATCACATCTCCGTCCAAAGTTTGGACGATAGAAAATATGAAGGAGGAGGAGGAAAAAAGGATTGGGAACAGGAAGAGGAGAGGAGATTAGATCTTTCTCACTATAACACATCTCCGTCCGGACAAGAGAAAGGAGGAGGAGAAAAAAAAGGAATAGGATCAGGAAGAGGAGAGACGCTATAAAATCTCTGTAATTAAACACGTCTACACATACAAGAGAAACATTGACGGTAGAAAGGAGTAGGAGGGAAAGGATGTGGAAGAGGAGGATGAGGAGAAAGTGGGGAAGGAAGAGGAAGAGAAAGAGGAGAGGAACTTGAAGATCTCTATAATTAAATCACAAGTCTATACATATAAGAGAAACATTAGATGATAGAAAGGAGGAAAAGGAAAAGAAGGAGGAGGAAAATAGGGTGGAGGAAAAGCAGAAGAAAAAGAGGAGAAGAAAGAGTAAAAGGAGGAGGAAGAGCAGATGGTATTAAATCTCTATCATTAAATCACAGTTCTAGAGAGACAAGAGAAATGTTGGATGATAAAAATTTGAAAGGGGAGGAGAAAGAAAAGGAGGAGCATGAGAAAGAGTAGAAGGAAGAGGAGGAGGAAGAGGAGGAGAAAATGCAGAAGGAAGAGAAGTTGAGGGAGAAAGAAGGACTTATAGATCACTTCAACAAAGTCACAGCTCAATACTGAAGAGTTTAGGCGATGGAAATAAGAAAGGTGGGGGGGGGAGAAAAGGTTAAGAAGAAAGTGGAAAAGAGAGGACGAGGCGGGAGACATTAAAAAACACACAGATCTATACAGGCGAGAAAGGAAGGGAGAGAAAGAGGAAAAGGGAGAGGACAAGGAGAGGGACATAAAGTCACAAGTCTATACATACAAGAGAAAGATTCCCCCCTCTCTCTCTCTCTCTCTCTCTCTCTATATATATATATATATATATATATATATATATATATATATATATATATATAGAGAGAGAGAGAGAGAGAGAGAGAGAGAGAGAGAGAGAAACAAGTATACTCTCATGGACGTTTTCCAACAGTCGAAATTTTAAACTTTGTCGGGATCAGGAACAAAAATGAAGACGATGAAACAAAGTGGCCATTTTTATTAAAGACGCGTTTCGCCGGAGAAGCGAAGGCTCTCTTTGGATTCCTCAGTTTAAAATGAAATAAAGCTAAGACCTAAGATCTCTAAGAATAAATGCGTATCATAAATTACCTTAGCTTCTCACCTCCTAATGGTCAGACGTGGAGAATGTGTGGCCGCTTGTTTGTTTTATTTATATCTGTATTAGAGCCGTTTGGTATTGTATCATTTTAAATCAGGACTTTTTTCCTATACACACACACACACACACACACACACACACATATATATATATATATATATATATATATATATATATATATATATATATTTACTTTACTCGCGTATACATGCATGCACATTCACCCAGGCATATTAGAGCTCTTTTTGCATACATGTTTACACAAACACACGTATATACACATTGCAGATGTTTTTTTTTATTTATTTTATGTTTTATATGTATAACTGTACATAAATTTTTTTTGTTATATATATATATATATATATATATATATATATATATATATATATATATACTCTACAGTTCTCAAGTTTAAGGCCACTCCTGGTATTGTTTTAAATTTGGCCCCAAAAGTAGTTGATTTTACTTTAAACAAGAGAAAATTATTATACATGATTAAAACAAATAGTTATTATACATAAAAATTATTATACATGGTTAAAACAAATAGTGAGACATGATTTTTTATTAGAAATTTTATTATGACAAAAAGAAAGACGGTATTTTATAATTAAATTTTGGTCTCGTCAAAATATCCCCCTTTAGCCTTGATTACTGCAGTACAAACTTAATTGTACCCCATTTTGATGGCTATTTAGCCCTCCGGGATAATCTCGTTTGTTAAACGTTTTAGCTTTGACAAATCCCGGGGATATTATCCCGGGGATATTATCCCGGGTGGGGCGAAATGGACATCAAAATGGGGTACAAGTGAGTTTCATTTTTATGTAATTCATTTATATGCTCTATAATATATATATTTAACTCTC